TTGGCGTCGTCTGTGCTTCTGGCACCAGTGCAAGACTCGGCCGCAAAATGGGCGGCAGTGGCCAGGTAATCGTAACCCGTCTTCGGCTTCAGGATGTATTTGGCCAGTGCATGCTCACCGTTCCTCGAGCTGTGTGCATCTGGCCGCAGGCTACTGTTAATATGCACACTAAACGCCGTGCATTCGGTTTTCCCGCATGCAGCTTGGTGTCTTCATCAGGGTCGCCTCATTCAATGACAGGTCCACGTGGCGCTCCAGGGCCTTGTGTCAGAGTCCGGCTCTTAACTTAAGCAGGAATGCAGCGAATGCTCGAACAAGACACTGCTGCAAGTGTGTCCACCCCGTTCTGGTCGGGTACGATCGCGCCTGGGCCTTGGGCACGGTCCGAGCCGTGTGGACGCCAACGTGCTGCTTGATCGGATCCTGCGATGACTGTGTTGGAGCTTTCAGGGTCAGAGGCGGTCAACCATTTTCTGGCGTGGTTCAACTTCGACTGCGGCAGTCCTGCAGCAAAGACATGGACCCACGCCGCTGTAGGACATCAGCCGCGGTGCGCGACCCGCCAATGCCGGCAGCATGGCTGGGTTTGGCCAAGCCGGCAGACGGATTGACCAGCTGTGAGTCCGTGCTGGCGCGCTCGATTCGCATGCTCATCTTCTTGTCGCTGGAAATCACCTCTTCATTCTCACAGAACTGTCCCTAAGCTGAAATGAAGACTGACAAAGGACACAGGGCAATGAGCTCAAGTGTCCATCCCGCCTGGGGATCGGTCTGGGACACCACGCCGACGTCCAGCTTCTGCTTGGGCGAATCCTGCTCTGACTGTTTTCAGGGTCGGGGTTTTACGGGGAGTTCCTGGCATGGTTCTTCTGTCAGTCCTGAAGTGCAGCCTCGTGCCCCTGCCGTGAGAGTTCCGGCGACTTGTTTTCTGTTCCCAGGAGGGTTCGCGCCGTGTTGCTGCTGGCAGCTTGGATACTTTTGACCCCGCCGGCGTACGGGTTGACCACTGATCCTGCCGTGCTTTGCGAGGCCATCTTTGCCGGAAGCGTGCCACTGCGCGCTGCGGCTGTGGCGGCTGAAGAGGCTGTAGAGATCTTTGCATTCACAGAGCTTGCCGGTACGGACGCCACGCCTGTGCAGCCTAGCTTCTCCTTCCAGCCCGGGTATATCTCGTCTGCTTCCTTCGGGAAAGTGAGGAAAGCACCCTTGATCTCCTCGTGGGTCTTGGCGAACTCAACAACGCCATCACTTAAGCTGACGTTGCCATACTGTCCAGACTTCCAGGCCTTCCATGCTTCCTCAACCTGGCGGCAAGCGATTGCACCAGATGCCGGTCCATCCTTGTGGCCGAAAGAACCGCTGGCCGCAGTCAGGATCACGTTGGAATGGCCCAGGCTTTCAAAGAAAGCAGGCAGGCGGAGAGCGTTCATGCTACCCGAAATAATGGGAGCATTTTGCCTCATGCCTTCCCACTCCTGATTGCAGAGACGGGCATCAGCCGCGTCGTCCTGCAGCATGACAGCGATACTCTTGCCGTGGGATTCACTTTGCATCCTGCCGGAGCTCATGGTGTCGGCGTGGATGCTGGTGGAGCTGATGACTTGGGAGATCTTTGTGTGCACAAAAGCAGAGTAGCCGCGCTGGGTCTGGGGGCTGCTTGTAGATGCTTGTCCTGCACGATGGTAATGCACGAACTGCTTGGGGAAAGTGTGCTGGGCACTGCCTCCCGCTGCATATCCTGCCACCAACGAAACACAATTTCCGGAGAAAGGTCCAAACTGTGATAGGACGTACTTTCCACGAGCATCCATCTCGTTTCGTTCAGCGTTGCCACCCGCATGCCTCTTAGCAGCATCAGTCCCTTGGGCGCACGACCTCATGGCCTTCACGACCTTCGGAATGCCCTCACTCGTCTGGCTGGGGGCCTGGTTTCCCTGCAAGTCGGCTGTGGTGTATGTTCCACCTTGCCAAAGCGCATAGGAGGTCGCACGGAAAGGTTTTGGCTGCATGCCAAGCTTGGGCTTCATGGCACCTGCCGCAAGGCCTCCATTGCTGGCGCCCTTGTCCAGGATGCGCCACATCGTGTTCACAGATGGGCTGTCCTGCAATCGCAAGAACGACGGGGGCAAATAGAAGTCGTAGATCTTGCTGAACTCGACATCTTCCATACCTCAGTCGGCCAGCATGCAGAATTACCCCAACCGTTTCAGGCTCTGGGTAGCAAGACATCTGGCGACACCAAGCCCGGGACCCTGAGTGTTGCCAATGGCGAGGGTCAGGAAGGACCTTGCCATGTCGCGGCCATCGGTGAGGTTGCTGTCGAAGAGAACGGTCGGGTAGGCAATTCTCATGTCCTGACTGTCCGCGTCGATGTAGTACACTACTGCGTTTGCTGACTCCTTGGCGTCGTCTGTGCTTCTGGCACC